AGGACATCCTGCCGGCTGTTGTGGCAGAATTCTTAGACACATCCTAACTCCTTCCCTTCTGCATTCCTACAGTCATTCTGTTAGCAATCCTAATGGCTTTGCCTTAACCTCCACTGCCAATACCTGGTCCAGGCCACCTGGATCATGGCAGCAGACTCCTCATCAGCTCCAGTTTCCACTAGTGTCCTGTGCTCTGTGGTTTATTCTCCATGCCATAGCCAGGGCTATTATTTTTTGGTTTTTTGGTAGAGAATAAAAAGTTTGAGAGCTCACTATTTCAGAGGTCTTAGTCCATAGAAAGCCAGCTTCATTCCTCTGGGTTTCATGTAAGGCAGAATATCATGGCGGAAGAGTGTAGTGGAGGGAAGCAGCTCACATGAAGATCAAGAAGCAGAGGGAAAGACTTTACTCACCATATACAAAATATATACACCAAAGCCATGCCCCAAATGCCCACCTGCTGCAGCCACACCCTACCACCTTCAGCTACCACTCAGTTGATTTCTGTCAGGGGATTAATTCACTGATTGGGTTAAGACTCTCCACCCAATCATTTCTCCTCTGAACCTTCTTGCATTGTCTCACATATCAGCTTTTGGAGACACCTCACATCCAAACCATARCATGGCCCCCAAAAGCTCACAATCATCTCACAATGCAAAATACATTTTGTCCATTTCCAAGAGTCACCACAGTCTCTCAGACTCAGGGCAAGCTTGCCCCATGAGCTCCTGTAAAAATCAAAAGCAATTTACAAGTATCCAATATATAAAGGTACAGAGTAAACATTTCCATTCACAAAATTTGGGGCCAAGAAAGGGATAGGACCAAAGCCAGACTGAAATGCAGCTGGGCAAACAAGTCCTATAGCGCCACATCCAGCATCTGGGGCATATGGCATTGTGATGTTCTCTCCAAAGGGCTTGTGTAGCTCTGCCAGTGTGACCATGTTGGTTGCAGCCCAAGTGGCCTTTCTGTTGGCTTGTCTCTTCAATACCTGCAGCTTTCCTACAACGATGTCCCTCATTACTGGTATTCTTAATCTAGGGGGTCTCCACTGCAACTTTGGCTTCCTCCTCAAATCTCCACACATCACTCTCAGAGGCTGCCTGCAGGGACTCAAACCCTGCTGCACTTTTCCAGGCCTCAAAGCCTAACTGAAATTTTGGTGGAAGCTTCCATGACCCCCTAATTCCAGCACCCTGCAATCCTGCAAATCCAGTACCACGTGGTTGATGCCATGGTCTTCTGCCATCTTGAGCAGTAGCCAAGCCTCCAGGGACTCTGGCTGCAGCAGTCTTCTTGTACAAGAATAGAGTAAGTAAGCTACCCAGGCCCTCTTACAGTAAGAGGGCCTGGGTAGCTGAGCATGTTGAAAAATCTTCCTAGGCCCCCTTGTACAAGAAAGATATTCCACTGGTCTCAAGAGAATTTTTGCTTTTGCTTCCTTGAGTCTGAGATGGATATATCTTGCCAATTCTTGAGCCATCTTTCTTATCGTTTCTGGGCAAAGCCTTTAGCATTTTAGTGGTGGTAATGTCCTTAACAACTGCAGCTTTCTTGGCACCAGTTTTACTCCCACCTTTCAAGTCCAGGTTTTTCAAGTCTTTCTGCTCCACTTTCTGCTATTGATTATCACAGTAAATTTGGCTAAAAGCCACCAGCAATATCCATGCCACCACCTAAATGTTATGCAGCCTAGAAATTTCTTTTGCCAGATTAAGAAGTCTGTGGCTTTTAAAATCAGCCTCACAGAAAGTCTCAGGACACAGGTAAAATGCAGACAACTTCTCAGCCAGAACATAATATGAAGGGCCTCTAGTCCATTTACCAACAGTGTCCTCCTTTTCCTCTAAACCCTCTTGAGCCCAGTCTTCACTGTCCGCGGTCCTATTAGCATTCTGGTCTTCTGAGCTCCCACCAGAATCAGCCAGTAAGCTTAAACAACCTAAAGCATTTCCAGCTTGCACTACTAAACATCTCAAATTCCTCCTACCAATTCCAAAAAAGCTTAAAAAAATTCTGAACTACATGTTCAGGTTAGACACAGCAACAACCCCATTCCGGGTACCAATTTGTGTTGTTGTTTTTTTTTTTTTTTTTTTTTTTTTGCTGCTATGACTAAAATTGTAGAGGGTAAAAGTTTATTTGAGGCCTCATAGTTTCAGAGGTCTCAGTCCATAGAAGGCCGTCTTCATTTCTCAGGGCTTGAGGTGTGATAGAACATCATGGCAGAAGAGTATGGTGGAGGGAAGTGACTCGAAGGATGATCAGAAAGCAGAGAGCAGCTATTACATTTCTGATTAAAACAATTCAAGCTTTGTCATTTATTTGCTTAGTCTTCCAATGGGTGTGTGTTTCTCATTGTGAAGTTTCCCCAGCAGCCCACTCAGTCCTATGCAGTCGGTCTGTCTCCTTCTTGCTTCTGGGATGTCCCCATCCTTGGCTCTCTGGCTCTTTTGCTCCAGCCCTCCCTTATGTTGCTTCCCTCTGCTGTGATGGCTTCCTTCCATGTATATTCAGGCTTATCCCTCATTCCTCAAGTTTTCTCAGGTGCCATTTTGTTGAATGAGTGAGTGGCATGAGAGGTTTCTGGTACCATTTGTAGTGTGTTGTAGGTGCTAAATAAGTGATAGCAATTCCTTGACTCTCAAAATAGCATTGTGCAAGCCGGGCACTGTATCCCTGCGGCTCAGGAGACTGAGACAGGAGGATCGCGAGTTCAAAGCCAGCCTCCGCAATGGCAAGGGTCTTAGGAACTCAGTGAGACCCTGTCTCTAAATAAAATACAAAATAGGGCTGGGGATGTGGCTCAGTGGTTGAGTGCCCCAGAGTTCAATCCCTGGTACAAAAAAAAACCAAAAAAAAACATTGTGCAGAAGTAGCTAATTATTGTCCCTATTTTATAGTGGCAAAAACTGAGAAGTTAGCTAGCTCAAAACAGTGTCGAGCTTTCTTGATTGTCATCCAAGGGAAGGAATGTATTTCACATTTCAGCCTAACACAGGGTTACTACAAATTGCCAGTATAAAGCTGAGTCGATACCTGTGACATTATAAGCTTCTTTTTCTTCTGACCTTTGTAAAAGATGAGGTTTCTTTATACAAATAGTTGTGTGGTTCTTAAAGTGAGGCAGAAAATTAAAATGTCTGAAAAGGAAGGGAAGGTACCTGTCAAACAGTCACAAGTAGAAGAATGAAGTTTTACCATTGACTACGAAATGACAGCAGCATGGAGGGAAGGGAAATCTGGTACTCTGCCCCAGGACTGGTTTGTGGCCCAGCTGAAGTCATCCATCCTGGAAGCACAGCCTTACCTCTGAGTCAGCATTGTGCCAAGGAGTGAAAGTAGGAGTGAGAGGTTGTGTGTGGCAACTCGCAGACTGCTCTCTGCTGGCACTGCAGAACCTGGGCCTGGGTTGACCAGCCAAGGCTGGCCCCCTGGAGCCAGGAGAGAACCTGTAGAGGTGCTGGGGCTGAGTGCGGTTCATCTGCAGAGTGCTCTCTCCAGAATGATGAGACTGTCACAAAGTTCTTAATTACTTTGGATCCATTCTGATAGTAAAAGTAAATGTCATGAGTGTGTGTGTGTGTGTGTGTGTGTGTGTGTGTGTGTTTATACTTATTTTATTTTTGGTGGTGCTGGGGATCAAGCCCAAAGCCTTGTGCATGCTGAACAGACACTCTGCCACTGAGCTATATCTCAGTCTCATAACAATATCTCAAAGAGAAAATGACATTATAAAACCAAAGAGATGAAGTGTTATGAAATTCACATGAAGACTCGTGGGGAGCCCAGCATTGCTTCTGTAAGAATGCCTCTGTCTGCGTTGAGAGCACGAGAGAGTTAATCTGGACCCTTTTCTTTTATACTGMATTAAGTACCTATTTATCCTGCAATTCTTGAAAGTGAAGTGCRTTAGTTGAGTACTTATTATGTTTTAGATGCTGGCTCCTGTCGTCTTTGCCACATCCTTCAAGAGGAGGCAGCTTGACTCCTACTTCACCCAAGGCATCCAGCAGATATGCCTGAGGACATTGGCTCACAGGGAGGAGCTGGCACCCAGAGCTCACACTCACCCACCACACTCATCCACTTTTAGATTTGAAGAGAAATCCAGTGTGAAACCTCAGTTCAAATCCCTTAATTAAGTTTAGAGTCAGACTAAAGTTTTCTTTTTTTCTTTTAAGATATTTTTTTTTTAGTTTAGATGGACACAATAAATCTTAAATCTTAAATCTTAAATCTTATTTATTTATTTATTTTTATGTGGTGCTGAGGATTGAACCCAGTGCCTCATAAATGTGAGGCAAGCGCTCAATCACTGAGCCACAATCCCAGCCCCAGGCTGAAGTTTTCTTGGTGGTACTGTTGAAAATGCCATTTGGTTAGAATAGTATTCAAGAGATTTCAAGGTAATTTGTGTTTAAAAAAAAAAAAAAAGTTCCTAATCTTTAATGCTTCTAACCTTTGTTAAACACTTTGGTTTACTGCTAATTAGCCAAGATTTTTCTCTTTCCAAATCCTTACCCTTTTAAAAGTCTGACAACACCTGTACTTTGCAACCCATTGGTACTATTCCCATTACATACAATATACAATAATAAAATTGATTTAAAATTATAGACTTCAGAGGTTTTAGTCATTCATCCTTATTCTCCAAATTAATGAATAAAACCAAGCATCAGCTGAATGAGGATCCTGAGTAATAAACTTTAATTTTCAAGTATCACTTCCATATATACCTACCAAGTTTTAGCAGTCTTTGTCTAAAGTATAGTCTTGAGTTCCTAAAATTCTCCAGTTGTAATGACTGATGATCTTTCTCGACCAGGAAACAGTGTTTTATATTTTTACTGTTATTTAAGTAAAGTTATTCAGAAAGCTTCTGTCAGCCCACTCTGCTGAACACTGGTGCCTGCGGAAAGACAGCTGGCTCTACCTGCCCTGGTGAGTCTTTAACCCCAGTTTTGGAGATAATTCTACTTTCTGTTTTTCAGAGAAGCCCGAGCGATGGAGGGGTTGCTGCACTACATTAACCCAGCGCATGCCATCTCTCTGCTCAGCGCTCTCAACGAAGAGCGCCTCAAGGGGCAGCTGTGTGATGTGCTCCTGATTGTCGGAGACCAGAAGTTCCGAGCTCATAAGAATGTCTTGGCTGCCAGCAGTGAGTACTTTCAGAGTTTATTCACAAATAAGGAAAATGAGTCGCAGACTGTCTTTCAGCTGGACTTCTGCGAACCAGACGCCTTTGACAATGTGCTGAACTACATCTATTCCTCGTCCCTGTTTGTGGAAAAGAGCAGCCTTGCCGCTGTGCAGGAGCTGGGCTACAGCCTGGGGATCTCCTTCCTGACCAACATTGTCTCCAAAGCCCCACAGGCCCCCTTCCCAGCCTGTCCCACTAGAAAAAGAGTGTCCATAGAGGATGAAGAGACCAGTTCTCAAAAGAGAAGTGTCATCGTGTGTCAGAGTAGAAGTGAAACACAAGGGAAAGCTGCTGGTCAGAATCCACCTGATCTGAGCCATGCTTCCCGGCCCTCACCAAGTATTGCAGCCAAGACCAGTACCAATAAACCGGCTCCTAAGCCAACAGAACCACTTCACAATCTGTCATTAACTGAAAAGAGCTGGCCAAAAGAGAGTAATGCGGGGTTTGCAAAGTCTCTTGAGCATTCTGGGTCTTTGGATGACCCCAGTAAAAGCACCTTGGTGAAGAGGAATGCAGTGCTGCCCTCGAAGCCTCTGCAGGACAGAGACACCGTGGACGATAAGCCAGGGGTGAGTGGTCAGCTTCCCAAGGGAAGAGCTATAGAGCTGGCCTTGACAAGACCACGGCCGCCTGTTTTGTCTCTCCGCAGCTCATCAGAGTCTCCCTATCTCTTAAAAGAAAGTAACAAAGGAAGTGGTCAAGGTGAAGATAGGAACTTGTTGTACTACTCCAAGTTAGGCTTAGTAGTCCCGTCCAGTGGGTCTGGTTCTGGAAACCAAAGCATTGACAGAAGTGGCCCACTTGTTAAGAGCCTCCTCAGACGGTCATTGTCAATGGATAGCCAGGTTCCTGTCTACTCACCCTCCATAGATTTGAAATCTTCCCAGGGATCATCTGCAGTGTCCAGTGATGCACCAGGAAATGTGTTTTGTGCTTTATCGCAAAAATCATCTTTAAAAGATTGTAGTGAAAAAACAACCCTGGATGACAGGCCTCAAGTGCTACAACCACATCGCCTCAGGTCCTTCAGTGCTTCTCAGTCCACAGACAGGGAGGGGGCTTCCCCGGTGACTGAGGTGCGCATTAAGACTGAGCCCAGCAGCCCACTGTCAGACCCTTCAGACATCATCCGCGTTACAGTGGGAGATGCAGCAGCAGCAGCCACGAGAGACCTGCCTCTGAAAACAGAAGATGACCACAAGGACATGAGCAGGCTTCCAGCAAAGAGGAGGTTCCAGGCAGACAGAAGGTCACCCTTCAAGAAGGCAAAGGCAGATGAGCAGGGGCCTCTTACATCAGAAGATAACTGTGAGGACAGCACAAACCCTCCCCTGGACAGAGATTTCCCAGATTCTGACTTGAACAAAGACGAATTTGGTGAGTTGGAGGGGACAAGACCAAACAAAAAATTTAAATGCAAACATTGCCTTAAGATCTTTAGATCAACAGCAGGTCTTCACCGCCATGTTAACATGTACCATAACCCAGAGAAGCCCTACGCTTGTGACATCTGTCACAAGAGGTTTCACACCAACTTCAAAGTGTGGACACACTGTCAGACCCAACACGGCATAGTGAAGAACCCATCACCAGCCTCTAGTTCCCACGCAGTTTTGGATGAGAAATTCCAAAGAAAGCTGATTGACATAGTRAGAGAGAGGGAGATTAAGAAGGCCCTGATCATTAAGCTGAGGCGCAGCAAGCCTGGCTTTCAGGGACAGAGTAGCTCCCCAGCACAGCAAGTCATCAAGAGGAACTTGCGCTCTCGAGCCAAAGGAGCTTACATTTGTACTTACTGTGGAAAGGCGTACCGTTTTCTCTCTCAGTTTAAGCAGCACATAAAAATGCACCCCGGAGAAAGACCCCTCGGAGTAAATAAAGTTGCTAAGCCAAAAGAGCATGCTCCTCTAGCAAGCGCAGTAGAGAGCAAAGAGGTTTACCCGTGCCGCCTCTGTAATGCTAAGCTCTCTTCTCTTCTAGAGCAAGGCAACCACGAGCGCCTATGCCGGAACGCCACCGTTTGCCCTTACTGCAGCCTCAGGTTCTTCTCGCCCGCGCTGAAGCAGGAGCATGAGGACAGGTGTGAGTATAAGAAGCTGACCTGCCTCGAGTGCATGCGCACCTTCAAGTCCTCCTTCAGCATCTGGCGGCACCAGGTGGAAGTGCACAACCAGAACAGCATGGCCCCCACTGAGAATGTCTCCCCGCCAGCTCTGGAGCACAATGGTGAAGTAACAGCTGCTTCTAGGCCCCAGCCCCAGCCGGAGCCTAATAAGGTAAATCACATCACTACACCAAAAGACGATAATGCATTCAGTGACTCTTCAGAGCAAGTGAACTTTGACTCAGAGGATTCCTCCTGTCTCCCTGAAGACCTTAGTCTTTCCAAACAACTGAAAATCCAGGTCAAAGAGGAGCCTGTGGAGGAGGCTGAGGAGGAGGTGCCCGAGGCCAGCGCAGCCCCTAAGGAAGCAGGCCCCAGCAAGGAGGCCAGCGTGTGGCCCTGTGAGAAGTGTGGGAAGGTGTTCCCAGCCCACAAGCAGCTGGAGCGGCACCAGGAGCTGCTGTGCTCAGTGAAGCCCTTTATCTGCCACGTGTGCCACAAAGCCTTTCGCACCAATTTCCGGCTCTGGAGTCACTTCCAGTCCCACATGTCTCAGGCCACAGAAGAGACGGCACATAAAGAGGCAGAGGTATGCCCCGTCCCCACAAACTCCCCSTCGCCACCGCCTCTGCCACCACCGCCACCCCTGCCGAAGATCCAGCCTCTGGAACCTGACAGCCCCACTGGCCTGCCTGAAAACCCCACCCTGGCCACAGAGAAACTGTTTGCACCCCAGGAGTCGGACACTCTTTTCTACCATGCCCCGCCCCTTTCAGCAATCACATTTAAAAGGCAGTTTATGTGTAAGCTCTGCCACAGGACATTCAAAACAGCCTTCAGTCTCTGGAGTCACGAACAGACACACAATTGAGAGACCCACTTACCCGATATGAAATGGGAGCCCCTCAATTGTGAACTGTCCTAAGAAACAAAATATTTTTTAAAAAAATAATAATAAAGGTTGGAAATTGTTATGCTTGAATTTAAGTTTGGGATAAATTGACATTATTTAGAAATGTCCTAACTCAACTTCAGAAATAAACTCTAAAATATTGTGGTTCCAGACCTCACAGCAACAGTGGGGTTTGATTTCGTTACTGTTGAAATTGGATTAATCTTGATGGATTGCACAATCCTCATTCCAAGGTGTCAGTATCATCATTTAATTGAGGTTTTTGGTTTTTTACTGATTTGTGATTAGTGGAATGCTGTCAGAGTATTCCTTCTTCTGATTATTTTAGACACCTGAGTTCTAGTTAAATCTTAGCCATGTTCTTAAGGCCAAAATGTATCAGGAAGAAGTGGAGTTGTTGGCAGTATTRGTTTAGATCTTAGACACCTTAGCAATAAAAAATGATAAACCTCAACTTTAACAAGTTATCCTGGCACTTGATAAAAACAAATATCTGGTATTTTGTGGTCATGTAAGAACTTTCTTTTTCTATGAAAATTGTGAGAAATTTAAATCAGCAATAGTCACACTTAGATTTTTACAGAATAATGAAAACTTGCTCTCTGTCACTTAGTATATCAAATAACGGTCATGCTCCAAGGAAGACACAGAAATGAAAATGCAATTTACAGGAGTCCACGCTTTCCAGGAGCTTCAGCTGCAACAGGCGTGTCATAGAGACCTCTGTATCACAGTCTAAATCAGACCTGCGTTGAAAGGACTGTGCATGTTTGGTTTCCTCCAATTTATGTTGTCACAGATTGAAAGTCTGGGTATAATTGGAACAAAATGCAAAGCTGACATGGTACTCATTCTGAATTCAACATTAGTGTGACAGGTAGGTGGGGACAAGTRTGTAGACAGATCCCACCACTAGGAACCAGTACAGCCACTCTACTATGTTCTGAACCACCACTTCCTTCTAGAGACCTCAGCAGAGGAGGAAGCCCCACCTTGTACTTCCGACGTACTTCCCAGGAACAATGTGTATGATACACACCTTTCTCCTGCCTCTCTGTCTCTTATGAAGACTTCTGTTAGGATGAGTTGGAGTTTATAGTGGTTAAAATATCAGTAACAGAACCATCTGCTCTAGGCCACTACTTAATAATCAAACATATGTGTCAAAGCACTTATAAAGGGTCCAAAACTGATTTTTTGCTACTTATTTTGGTAATAGGGTTTGGGCTTTTGTTGTTGTTGTTGTTGTTCTTTTCCTATTTTGTGACAGTTGTAATTAAAAGCCTTTTAGTAAGTGTTACCCAAAGTTCATTCAGGTGTTTCAGAAGGGAAAATTTTTATTTCACTTTTATGGGGAGGGTTACATATATAAAAGAAATATTACTGAAACCACGAAATCCTTTGTAGGTAGTGACACGGATTAAGACTCCAAGTTTATACCTTTTTTAACTAGGTATTCTTTTAAATTAGAAAAGTCAACTATGATGACTGAGAAATAGTTTTCAATTTGTGTTCTAATAGAAGAGAACTCCACCTATCAGTCTCATCATCAACATTCCATATCAATAGTGGGGGAGATATTCTTTTTATTGAAACAGTCATTTTTATAAAATACTAATTGACTTTGTATATTATAGAAATTATATATGAAAATTTGCCTTTTATCCTTACACTTGAAAAAGCTATTAAAAATCCCCAAATATTTTAGTAGTCATTTCTATTTTGTTTTCAAATTTGATGAAGAAAGGAAAATAAAATTAGGTTGCAGTTACTGATTCTGGCCATCTTTATATTTTCTTGAAGAAATCTATGCATTTTACAGATGAAACTAAAGCATATGACCTTTAATGAAAGAGACATCATGGTGGATTATCRCATATGGAATTCATTCCCTGTTAATGTGGTCATTCTTACTCTGAGCACTAGCTGCCAATTCAGAAGAAGACAGTTGCCTGTTGGCATATCTGTGATAACTCCACGATACAGAATAATCTTGGCATTGCAGATTCAGTGTCCCAGGACTTGAACCTTTATGCTACATTTTTGAAGATTTTTTAAATAATACTGTTAATCAGTAAAAAAGTATTTTTGGTCTCAATATAGGCTCTGCATATCTGTTAGATTTTAAAAATTAACCAGTGTTTTGTCTTGGTCACATTTTTTGTCTAGGCAAGAAGTATAAGATTTCAAATAAAAATTTGAACCAAAAACCATTTATAATGCAGTTCTGGATTTTCTATTACTTTTTATAATGTACCTTAAAAGCATTAGGCTGAAAGAGTTTATTTTGGTGGTCAGAAACAACAACAAAAAAAAATGCTTCCACTCATGTAACTATTTTAAATGTTAAGAAGTAAAATAATGAAAGACACATTGATTTATTCAGTAAACAGTTTTTTAAAGAATGTTTATCTCAGCCAGTAGGCAAATATTTGGTGTAATAAATTGGTCTTTCATCGTTGCAACTCCTTTAGATGGTAAAGATATTCTTGTAAATGTTTTTTCTGATTGTAATTAATTTTTGAAAATGTAGAAAACTCATTTATTCCTTGTAAGTATTCAGGATGCCTGCTTTTTTACGCAGTGTGGAAAGAATGTAAAATGTTTTAATATATTCTTTGTTAATCTGAGAACTTGTTATTGAATCCTTTTATGTGAGGTAAGGAGGGAGTAACATAAAAGTGTTTTTATCAGAGTAAGCAATGGAGGTAACAAATATTGTGCATTTTATAGTAATATTTCAAGATTAATAGAATATTCATGCTTAAGACTAGTTAGTATGCATTTATGATTTTACCAAAATATTCAACTAGCAGTTCAGTAATGGATGTTTTTGGCATTTGTGGGGAGATGTATGTGTTCCTGTTTCTGTTTGGAATGGGTCATATAGCCTTCTCTCTGTAAAAATGTGTCCAAMACTTAATTGGTTATCACCTAAATCCACACAAAGCCCCTATTGGTGCTAATGAGAGTAGCAGCTCTGGGGCAAGAATGGAATGTGCCCTTCCCTGGAGTCCTGGGTGGCTGTGTCTCCTGCCTGGCTGAATAGTCAGGGTGTGGAAGAGACAGAACAGACTTGAAGTTGGCCTTTGTTCCCTCAGATTGGGTTCTTGGGTGCATACACACCTGTGCAACTATAATTCAGAACTACAAAAAGAAAACAATTTTAATTTTCTTATATATAAATAATTAGGTGTCACTCCTAACAGATTTCTTGATAAATTTCATTCAATTAACTATTGGAATATTACAAGTCAGTTTGTCGGTTTCTGATATCTCATTGGTGTTTTTTTTTTTATAAACATTGATTTAAATAATGATAATACACATTCTTTAATAAGTTCAAACACTGGCTACTAAGCTTTTTAAAGTTTTAGAAATACATTTTCCTCTTGTGGCTCTAGCACTTTAAGAAGTTTGATGTTTGCGTGATTTCGAATGGGCTCTTTCAGTGTTTACCAGGGAGTGCTGCAACCTAGGGCATTTCCATATGACAGGAGGAAACTCAGTGTTTAGATTCTGGAGGAGAAAGAGTGAACATCAGGTATTTCAAAAATTCCTTTCAGAGACAGGCTTTGGGGAACCAAAGCATTTTACTGTAAATCTTTACAATAATTGAATCAGAATTCTTTAGTCATTTGTTTGTACTATCTGAACTTCCATAGTTATTCTTGGTTAATACTAATTCTCAAAAGGTGGATAATTTGTTACTGAAAAATACAAAACTGTCTCACAGTTTGCATTGAATATATGCTTATTGTTTAAAGAAAAATGAATGAGTGGTTTTGTAATATGTTTTTGTCGTTAGGCTTTGGAGTAAATCACTTTTTTTAGGAATAAGCTTTTTTGGACTGAAAATTCATAGTAAAATAGAATATCTAATGTTAATCCATTGCTTACTTGTACCTAATTCTATTGTCTGTTCACTTTGCTTAAATCTTAACTAAGAATGATTGGAGTCAATAAATTTGTACTGTATTTTGCTTTGAGTCATGATTTCGTTACGTTTTGCACTTTGATGATAACGATCAGTAGCATTTGCATTTATGAAAGGAAGGAGAAAGGCCTCCTGTTGGGGTAATATGGATGTCCACTTAAGACTTATGGGAGATATTTGGTTTTCCCCAGTTCATGGTTTCTTGTTGTGGAATCAAGTTTGTATTAAATATATGGTAATTAAAACTAGATAAGCAGCTACCTTGCTTGTCCACCTTTTTCATTTCTATTCAAAGTAGTAGCTTTTAATTCACCTTTTCCTTTACTTTGAAAGTAGTATTATTAAGGTGAATGTGAGGGGATATGAATACCTAAAAAGAAAGTGCCGTGCACTTTGCATTGGTGCTTCAGCACGGCAATTGATAGGCTGGCTCTCTTTCCTAACCTAAGGCTTCCAGCATTGTATTTTTCATTCTAGCAAGGCTTTTTGGGAACATGGGATGCGGCCTCTCTTTTTATTTTTATATTAGTTTTCCCGTAACAGGAGAGTGGAGCTGTAGGTATTTCACCAGGCTGACTTGAAGACAAGGCACTAGAGCCAAGGGAAGAGGTGCTCATGGGCTAATGGATGCAAGCCCCTGTGCCATGGCTCTCACCTCCTTGTTTTCCTTTGTTGATATCCAAATTGGCCTATTTGGGAACAGCTGCCTAAAAGTGTCTTGAACACACTACAGGGACAACGATTTTTAATTTTCACCCTTTACCCTGCTGTTCAATTAGCCACTGAATGGATATCATTTTGTTTTAAAAAGTTTCCTTTCCTCTTAGAAATAATATCTTTGGGGGGTTTGAGTTTGTCGCACTCCTGTCTCATCTTCCTAGGTCATCAGCACACCCTCATGACAGTAAATGCCGTAGTGACAAAACCACAAGCCCAATGTTTGGGACTTTATCCTGCCCGAGGCTGAATCTTGGCTCAGTTCTTGATGAACTAAGAAAGGTGGGTGGCAGGTCTTGCTCAGGCATGGCAGATGCTGGAGAGGAGGATTCTTGTGTGATACAAACACCGTAGCATGAATTCAAGTGTCAGTTGGCTATGGCCCACATCTTCCACCAGGAGGACCCCTTGATTGGCCATCTGCCTTGAGATAACACAAACCTGCATTTTGCCCAGCAGAGTATCTTCAGCCCTACTTCCTGTGGCTGGCATAATTTCCTCCAGGAAATGCTTCCTGGCCCTTTCCATTCACTCCTCTTCCTAGCCCAGAGTAGTGCTTCCTGATGGCCCATCAGTGCACTTGCTGCTTTCTGTTTCATCCAGGTCCTTCCACCAGACAAGGAGGGGCCTGAGRGTAGAGTTCATTATTCATATGTTTCCAGGCCAGAAAAAAAGAAGGGGCCTATTAAGCATTTGAAAAACAATTACCACAAAGAAATCTTGGAGGTGGGGGACCACCAACCTAGTTGTTTTTAGCTGGTGATAGTAGGAAACAGTAAATATGTCTGCATATATTCCCCAGATTTCAGTGCAGCTATTTAGTTAGAGATGCACAGTATATTTTAACTTTTGCATGGGTCTCAGCAAGCTCAAGGAGAATAGAAATGTGCCAGTGGCCAGCTTTAGATTGACAAGTCCCTTTATAAGTGACAAGCACTCATGTACCGCCATCATCGTTTTGACATGGTGTGTGTGTCACTGGTGCTGCTGAAGTGCCCATTGGGTCACCTCAGTGTATGTAGTTGCCTGATGAGGGCATCAGCTGGCACTGAGTGCTCATTGTAGGTGCAGCTTGGCACGCTGCCCGTGGTGATGTTGTAGGACGATAACAGACTTGTCCCCCATGCTGTTGTTCACTTTTACTCCTGCCCCATTCTCAGGCAACCCAGTATCCTCTTGTCTCCTTCAATTTGGAATACTCCTCAGTCTCTGACTTTCATGGCCTTGATCATTTGGACAACTATGAACAGATCCTTTGTTGGCGTGTCCCTTAATTGAAGTTTCCTCAAGAGTAGGCATTGCGCTTGGGGCCAGAATGCCACGAAGCTGTGTTCCCTTCAGGTCACCCAGTGAGTGGTGGCCTGGGTGCCCATCTGCCCTGTTACTGGTGTGATAATTTCARTCATTTCACCAAGCTTTTCCCTCTTCATAGAAATTTTGGGAGGAGTTATTTTGGGAGTACCCACTAATTTGGGCATCTGTTGATGTTTCTTGCCTGCAGCGTTTTTATGGTCATTGCCAAACAGAGATTTCCTTATCCCATCATTCCTTTATTTGTGGGCTTTCTACTACAAGAAAAGAATGTTCTGTTATTCCCATTAGTTTCCTTGACCCCATGTGTATGTGATGTGGATTCATGGATTCCTGTATCTTTCAAAGGGTTATAATCAGTTGCCATCATTTTTTTTWAAATTTGATGCTCAAATTAGTCTAAATTTAGCAGTGCTGAGTTCAGAACAGTTTCCCTGTCCTTTTATATGTGTCTTTATTCTTCCTGTGTTCTTACTTTGGGGCACAGGATGTTACAGGAATCCTCTCTCATTCTTTCCCTGCCATAGCTCTGAAACCAGCCTTGTCCCTAGGGAATCAGATTCCTTTTGGTGGAGAACRGTGTGGGAACTTCCACCTGGACTTAATACATGCTCATTGGAAAYACACGTGAATGGCCCAGCCTGTCAGCAGTCAGACATGAAGGGAAAAATACACATGCATTCACATCTGGATTTAATTCTGAATCTTCTGTCTACATGTTGAATTTCTTGATCTGACATTGATAGCTTAGACTCCAGTCCAGCACCATAGGGCTGTCCATGGCTCTCTGCTCCTGTAGGAGTTCCTCCCCTCAAGACCCTGGTTTCCCATATTCCTTGCACTAACCCATCTCCAGGTGCCTGGGCCCACCTTCCACACAAGCTGACCATCCGCCTCACAGGAATCCATCTGGTGGCTTTTTGACAAAAGAGGAAAGGTAGAGGCGAGAGGAAGGACTATAATGGCTTCTTYGTCTTATTCACCTTACAGTTCTATCAATTTTGGTTTCTCTTTGGGTAAATAAATGTAGAGGATTGATTTGCTTACCCCCCCCCTATCATTTTTAAATGATCCTCTTTGTGTACTATAAAACCTACTTCATTTATATTAATGTAATAATCGCTTCTTTCTTGTGATCAGTTTAGTATTGTGTTTATTAGCTTTCTTTTATTGTAACAAAATACCTGAGACAACTTACTTAAGGAAAGATTTATTTTGGCTTATGGTTTCAGAGGTTTCAGTCCTTGATTGATTGGCCCTATTTCTTTGGGCCTGTGAGGCAACATCATGGTAAGAGGACATAGCAAAACCATTTGCTTCATGGATTGGAAGTAAAAGAAAAGAGGAAGAGGAAGGCCTGAGGTCCATCCCCTTCAAGGGCATACCCCCACTGACCTAAAATCTTCCACCAGTCCCCCTTTTACAGGTTTCCCCCACCTTCCAGTAGCACCGAGCTGAGGACCAAGCCTTTGCAGGACATTGCAGATCCAAAGCAAGCAATAATGGCTTTCACTTCTACCTATTTGTGTTACCATATGTAGTGTGTTTCCTGTAGTTGACATATATCTGAGTATAGATTTTTTCCCCAATCTGATATTCTCTGCCTTTTAATCAAGGTATTTAAATCATTTACATTTAATGTGATTGCTTATATGGTTGGATTAAATCTCTTATTTATTTCTCACTTCATCTGCTCTTTGCTCTCCATTTTATCTTTTTCTTCCTTCTTGCTGATTAGCWGGACATTTTCTATGATTTTGTTCTCCTTTGCTGGGTCATTAGCTGTAACTTTGTCTTATTATTTAGTGGGCACTGCAGGGCTCAGGGCCTATGTCTTTCTCCATAATAACCAAGTGATATTCTGCCTCTTCCCGTAGAAGATTTCCCAACCTGCTTCTTCCCTACCTCCCAGTCTTTGTGCTTTGTCATCATGTGATTCGCTTCTAGGGATGTTCCAAACCCCAAATGCATTGTGACTGTCTTCACATTAGTCAGTGGTATTTAAAGAGGTTTAATCAATAAGCAAAGTCTGTACGTTTCTCCATCTAGATTGCTTCTCTGGTGCCACTGCAGAGGGAAGCATTCCGCACGTCAGTGTTTCTGTGGTGCAGCTGCTGGTGCTGAAGGTGTTCAGCTTATGTGACTGAACGTCATTCATTTTTTTCAACCTTGAAAGATGTTTTTGCTGGACATAGAGTTCTAAATTGATAGTTTTTTCCTTTGTCTCACTGTTTTGTCTCACTGTACTGTTCACAGTATTGTCTCACTGTTTCTTAGCCCAACCATTTTCAGGGAGGAATTTGTTGTCCTTACCTGTTGTCCCTCTACATGTCTTTGACTGTGGCTTCTTTTAAGCTTTTTTTCCTTATTACCAGATTTGTGCCATTTGATTGTGATGTACTGTAGTGTAGTTTTTGTGTTGTGTGTGCACACATGCACACTTTGGTTCTTTTAATTTCTTAGATTTTTGAGTTCATGATCTTTTAAAACCAGAATCACGATTTTTTCAGCCATTTTGTCTTCTAGCAATTTTTCTTTCCTTTCTTTCTTCCTTCAAAGACTCCAATTATACATATTTGACCATTTCAAATTGTCCCATAGTCGCCGTTGCTCTGATAAGTCTCTCTTTCTCGAGTTTCATTGGGTGGCCCCTCTTATTGTGTCTCCTGGCTCACGGTCCTTTTCCCTATCCTCCGTGACCGCCTGCTGATCTCTCAGCTCACACAGGGTTTTCATTTCTGAAAGTCGGACTTGGAGCTTCCCGTTTGTGCTCAGCATGTTCCGTCTCTGCTCTGACTCCTTGAGCAGGTGACAGCGTCGAGGGTCCTTTCCCATCTCCTACCACCTGCTCCATTTCTGGGTCGGCTTCCTTTTCTCCTGTTGCCTCTTGTTGTGTCTGTTGTTTTATTGGATGGAAGACGTGTGCAGCTGACTTGTGCTGAGTGCTGGTCATTTTTGCACTCCTGTAAATATTATGGAGCTTTGTTGGGGACATGATTAACTTACCTTGAAG